TTTGGAATCACAATGCTTATCTTATGCCTTGCCTTTATGTTGGATGTATTTAACTTTTCATTTGTACAGGGGCTCACAGTTAAGAGTTTGCCTTGGATCTTGGAGGAGACTTGGGACTTGGACTTTTCAGCATTGCTGAAACTGTTGGGACTTTGGCAACTCTTAGAGATGGACTAAAATGCCCTTTGGACAAAGGGATGTGCATGAGACTTATGGTTTGTATCTAGCTGTCCCCCCAAAACCTCATGTAAGTTATAAGGCAGACACGGCTGGAGGAGCAATGAGCGGCTTCAGGGGCAGGGCCAGAGAGGAGTGAACTGTTAAACTGGCTAGCCTGTGCTTTCTCAGACAGGTGGAGAAGGTCATCTTGGACATGGCAGCACTCCAGCCTCTCCCCCAGTGTCTTGAAGCCTTCAGTAACTGTGCTAAATAAACCTTTCCTTCCCTCATTTTGAGTGTTGGGTATATGTCCCAGCAGCGAGAGAAGAGTAACTAAGACAAAGTGTTTCCATTTTAGAAGAGCTCCAATCTCTGTCACAGCCCCTGGACACGATTCCATATACTATTTTTCTACCTCTGATTGCACAGGTGGCCACTGTGGTCTCTTCCAACTCTGACCCTATAACCTACCCAATAAATCCTCTTGCACAAGTATATGTACTTCTATTGATTCTGTTTGTCTACAGAATCTTAACTAACGCAATAGATACTTAATTTGTCTTGTCTTCTTTTTTAATTTTTTCCTTTTGCTTTCTTCTTATTTTCTTTTACATTTTTTCTTTCTTCTTCCAATTTTGCATGCATATATCTGGTACTATGAACAACTAATTTAAAGAAAACACTAAGCAATACAACAAATACTGTGAAATTCATATTTGTATAGTAAAATTTTATATCATTTGTAATTTTCTGACTTAAGACTACTTTGTACTCTCTTTTTAAAAAGTATATGTATTCCTATTGATTTTGTTCTTCTAAAGAATTCTAATACAGTAGACTTTCTCTCACTTTAACATTTAGTTATATTAAGCTTGAAAATCAAGACATAAAGACATCATATACAAGAATAATTGTGATTATTTTCTCCGCTTAACACAGTATTTCAGAAGAGGTACATGCTCAGAATTTAGAAATAACTAGTATTTCTAAATACCAAATTTCTAGAATGGAGTTTACTCATCATTCTGTTAAAACTTAATAATAACACCATGTTTCTATCAATAAACAAGTGTGCTCTGCAGGCTACAGCTGGCCAATCTTGATGCAGACCCCTTGCTTTTTTTGAAAAGAAAGATGTTCCTCTCAATAGGCAGAAAACTGAACTAGAGAACACACTCTGAGAATGCCTGTATGAACATGCCTAGTGGCCCTCGGGCAGCGGACCAAGCAGACATGGATCTTAGCCTCTGGTCCACCCATCACTAAACAGCCTAGCTATCTATTAAAACTTGCCAAAACTGTCTTCTCTCCATAAAAATGGTAGATGGTAGTTGCCTGTAAGTTTTCTAAAATTCACAGTGCGCATGTTATGCAGAGGAACACTCGGCACGTAAGATTCTCTGCTTGTACTCCCTCACTTGACCCCCAACCCGCAGTCTAGCAGGGTGCTCTCACACACGGACTAAGGTGTAGGAAGAGCAAAAGCCAGGAGCTTTCAGAAAATGCTGGACAATTTCTGAACATAATGGACTCCATTTTTTTTTTTAAAGTTTTGATAGTGCAATTTAAAGTACAGCTGCTGAATTTAGAAGCTCTCCCATGTGAAATGCACAGCTCACAGGGACATGCCAGCAGACCTGCAGATAAGGCTGGCTTTCTGAGAACAATCAGAATGAGGAAGAGCAGCCACAGAGGAACAAGTTTTCATAACCAATCATAAATCTACTTGAGTTTAAAAAATTTTTGTTTTCTATTTTCAATGTTTGGCAACAAATTAAGTAGTTTTAGACTAATTCATACTGACTTTAAAAATACTTTGTTTTGGCACTAATTTGTGAGTCTAAATAAAATTGGATAATCTATTTTTAAAAGTCACTAATCAATAACCACTACTTACACAAACACCAGAAAAACTTGCTACTATTTTTACAATCGTAGAATTAAAATGTTTAGAAGAAACAGAGATTATAAATGTAGTCTTTTGATTCTAAGAAAAAAATCAAAGAGGGGGCTGGTTAGATGGCTCAGTGGTCTAAAGCACCTACTTAGAACAAGCTTAGCAAAGCACAGGGACCGCGGTTCAATCCCCAGCACCACATGCCAGCCAGCCCCGCCCCCTGGTGGGCTGAGCTGGCCACACACACACACACACACACACACACACAAATAAACAAATAAATAAAATTAAAAAGAAAAAAATCAAAGAAAGAAAACAATCTTGCTACAGTGACATATAAGTAAGCTGATATCAAGATTAAAAAATGAGTTCCAGCTTAAAACTGAATTTAATTTTTGTTCATCTGTGAGGCGCTAACGTCTATAGCTCATTTCTGTCAATGAAGAATTAATCCCTTATTACAATGGAGATAATCCGAGTATTCTACTTAGTTCTGTATTTTATTGACAGAATTTATTATTCAGATCAGTAAAGAAATCAGAGGACAGATGAAGGAAGCTCCAATTATGTAAACATGAAAAGCCATGGAGCTACATGGATATAATTTTTCTGGTCTTCAGCCCCAAAAAAGAATTATTTAAATTTTAAAACAAACATTTTTGAGCAAAAAAATATACAATAGCCTGCTGTGAGTACTTTTTTTTTCCTTCACACAATTAAGCTTTATAACAAGTCTCTGAAGTAAAGAATAGTCCCAAAATTCCTATTTTTAAAAAATGGTGAAAATGAAACATAAGAGGGTTAAATAATTTGTTGAAGGTAGCACAGGACTAAAGCCAACGCCTTCTGGAAAAAGCTAAGAATTTTTTAAAAATATATAAAACTAGAGCAGTTAACAAATTTAAAGAAGGGCCAGCCGGATAGCTCAGCAGACTAAAGCATCTGCTTAGGCAGAACCCAGTGGCTGGGGTTCAATTCCCCGGCGTGCTGTGCCAGCCCAGTGCTGGCCCCACCCTCAGGGCGTGCTGAGATGATGATTGAGACTGGGTGAGGTGTTGCACACCTATAATCTCAGTGTTTGGGAGGTTGAAAAAAGGAGAATCACTACAAGTCTGATCTACATAGTGAGACCCTTAAGACCCTGTCCTAAAATACAGAAAAAAAAAATTAAAGATACAAATGTAAAGATATAATAGTTATCAAATTTGTAAGTATACAGTATAAGCACTTTATTACTACTGTAGCATTTTTAAATACTTTAATAAGAAAATGGCATTAGCGTCAAGATGAAGCTGAACATCTCCTTCCCAGGCACTGGCTGCCAGAAACTCATCAAGGTCAATGATGGATGCAAACTTCGCACATTCTCTGAGAAGCGCATGGTCACAGAAGTGGCTGCTGATGCCCTGGATGAATAGTGGAAGAGTTATGTGGCCTGAGTCAGCAGTGGGAATGACAAGCAGGGCTTCCCCATGAAGCAGGGTATCCTGACCCACGGCTGTGTGCACCAGCTGCTGAGTAAGGGGCAATCCTACTAGAGGACTGGGGAGAGAAAGCATAAATCCATCTGAGGCCGCATCGTGGATGCCAACCTCAGCATTCTCAATTTGGTTATTGTAAAAAAAAAGAGAGAGGGAGGACATTCCTGGGTTGACTGATATTACTGTGCCTCGATGCCTAGGGCCCAAAATGGCCAGCAGAATCTGCAAACTTTTCAATCTGTCTAAGGAAGATAATATCCGTCAGTATGCTGTCAGGAAGCCCTTGAGCAAGGAGGGTAAGAAACTCAGGACTACAGTCCCCAAGATCCAGCGACTTGTTACTCCATGTGTCCTTCAACACAAATGCTGCTGTATTGCGCTGCAGCAGCACACTAAGAAAAACGAGGAAGAGGCTACAGAATGTGCTAAACTTCTGGCCAATAGAATAAAGGAAACCAAAGAAAAACGCTGGGAACAGATTGCCAAGAGATGCGGGCTGTCCCCTCTGAGAGCTTCTACTTCCAAGTCCGAGTCCAGTCAAAAGTAAAACACTTAAATAGCAAATTCATTAGATCTGACCTAAGAGAGGGAGGGAGGGAGGGGGGGGAGGAGAGAGAGAGAGAGAGAGAGAGAGAGAGAGAGAGAGAGAGAGAGAGAGAGAGAGAGAAAATGACAAAAGTAGAGACTATATATTACAAATACAAAAATATAATTTTAAGGCATTTTCAGAGGATCTTCTATAGACAGTTTTAAAAGATAAAAGAAAACCTACTATTCTATTAAAATTAGTGCTGAGTCAATTTAAAAGATGCTACTGTCAGTTCTCAAACAGTTTAGATAAACATAGAAAAAAATAAATGATGTCGCTTTTATTCATTCTGTTTTTGTACTGCATCTAGCACACCTAAGTTCCAGTAAGGGTCAAAAACATTGTTATAGAAAAGTATTAACCAAAGTAATTTGATTTTAAGGAGAAAATACATGCAAATCATGATTCAAGTCAATATACTTAAAAGTAAGGCAGATTCAGGGACCTGATCATCTTAAAAAGGTCCTGTGGGCTATCCCACCATTTAAAAATGAAGAAAGAGGAGAAATGAAAATCATAATGACGGCTAGACAAGAAAATCCAAGTCTATGGGCTGATGATAGAGCTCAGTGGCAGAGTGCAGGTCTGGCAAGTGCAAGGTTCTGAGTTTCATTCCCAGTACCAAAAAATAAGAAGAAAGAAGAAGATGACAGATAAAGAGGAAGAGGAAGAGGAAGAAGAGGGGAAGAAAAGAAAAAAGAAGGAAAAGAAAATAGAAAATTCAAGTCTAAGATTCATCTACATTTTTCGGTCATTGCAGACAAAATGTCTGATGACAATCTTCACAACAGTATATATTATAAATAGAATTATTCATAAAACATAGAGCAAACTATTACTTAAACATTTTCTCATAAAGTTTTTTGCTGCTTACCTGAAATCCATGCTTGCCTCTCCACCACGTACTTAACACCTTTGGGGGCATGTCAATAACAGAAACAATGTCTCCCACCTAGGAGAATCAAACTTTTAAGTAAAACTGTTTTAAACCAACTGTTACATCCACAATTTAAATCTGAACTATACAAGAAGGTAAAGTACTATTATGTTCTGGATAATAACTGCTGAAAATCATACTACTACTTCTTAAAATGACAATAATTTTACCCTTGTTAAAGCGCTAGGAAAAGTTAAGCAACACCAAACTGAGATCCAACTAACACTCAAGTGGTAACATCATGAGGACAGACCTCAGAATAAGGCCTTTAATGGTCCATGTCATACCATCATCATCAATTCTGCTACAATACAGTCTCCAACTTACAATGTTTGATGGACGTGTGGTGCAAATGAGAAATGTATTCAGTAAAACTGTTCTTCAAATTGGGAATTTTGTTCTTGGGCCAGGCTAGTGATGTCAGATGTCAGGTCTTTAGTGGCCCCAGGCAGCAGCGTGGTGCAGAGCTGCTAGTCCTCTCTGCATTCACAGGGGCACACAACTGATGCTCCAAGTGCACTGTGCTGTGGGGCTGGGACAGTCAGTAGGTTAAGGGGTAGGTTTACTGGGACTAACCCCATGTAAGTCGAGGAGAGTCTATGCTATGGGCTGCAGGTGATCAGATTCACTTATTTGGGATAATTTCAAATACTATACATGTTTAATCCTAAAGGAAAAGTCTGAAGATGGATTGTTCCTAACGTAAAATATTATGATACTTCTTTAAACAGATGGCATAGTGTAACACTTCTAAAGAGCTAACTGCCCTCCCTGTCAAAGGTGAAACAGCAAGTTTCTACAAATTTGAACAAAATTATACATGTAAGAGTAAATTCTAAATAATATATTTAATAGGTGTTACATTTTTCAATCATCCTGATATCCACAGTAAAAAGGAGGCTAAACACTGGACAGCTCTATTACTAATGTGAAGTACATTTTTAGCACACTGTATAGTCATACTTCTTTCTAAAATCATGAATGAGCCATCTTCACAAAGTCGTTTTTATAACCACACAAACATCTTTTGAGACCTGTATTTCTTCACAGAACCTAAAAGGTCAATTTAAAAATAGTTCAGCTTCTGTACAGTTCATACTGTTTTTTCTTTCAGAGACAGAGTGTGTGTGTGTGTGTGTGTGTGTGTGTGTGTGTGTGTATGTGTGTGTCTCACTGGGGCCTGAAGCCAGGATGTTTACACTGAGCTATATCCCTAGCTCTTCTTAAAATTTATTTTGAGACAGGTCTCACATAGTCACTGTGCTGCCCAGCCTGGACTCAAGCCTGTGAAGGGGTAAGTTCCTTTACTAAAAATACTGGGGTAGCTATGTAGTCAGTATCCATAAATGAAGGGTCACACATTTCTGATTGGACAATACTGCTTTAAATAGAGAACACAACAACTGGAGATGCTCTTGGGAATATAGTTACCATGGACTAAATGAGGGAAGGGTGGACTCTATGTGAAATGACCATTTGTTTAACAACAACACATGACTGCGAATGGCAGGAATGATCAATATGGTCACTAAGGTCATGACGAGGCAGTCCTGGTACCTCACACAAGCTCATGGCCTAATGAGCAATCAGCAGCCTGCCAGAGGGTTGTTCATCAGAATATCTCAATGGGAGGACTTGGCCGAAAGGACTCAGTCTCCCAGAGTGCCAACGTTATAGGCACACACTACCACGACCAGCTTATACAGCTCGTTTTTACAGAATTCAAATCAGCATTTATTATGGCTCTCATCAGCAAATGTTTTTTAAAGGAAGGAATTTTATTCCCTCCTTTTGTACATGATAGCAAGAAATATTTATTTCATCTTTCTTCTTTTCTTAACTCAATTTTTCAACAAATATTTTTTAAAACACCATTATTCCTGTTTTGGACACTAAAAACACTACGGTAGGCTCTTGCAAGACACCCTCTAAGACAAACATGAAAACTACAATTAAATTTAGTAAGTGATATGTCAGATAAGCCATGGAGACAGCTCTGAATGGCATCTAGTCTTGCTTTCTAGAATTTGTTACTAGCATGGAAAGAGGTAAAAGAGACCAAGAATAAGTTCTCAGAAGAAATGGAAGACACTGAAGCAAGTGTTGATGGATCAGTACAGTCAGTCAAACAAAAAACACAAAACATTCTAGACTAAAATATAAAGGACTGCAGAAAAACTTGGTGCTTTTAATGCTTTTTTAAGTTAAGGGGTTAAAATAGTTCAGGATGAGGCTGGAAAGGCAGCAGAGGCCACAGAATGAACATCGGCCTTTAGTCATTTACCTCTAGGGTCAGTTCATCAGGGGCACGAGCAGTGTACCTCTTGATAACATGGGCGGCACCAACAGCGGGAGTGTTGATGGATGATTCTTCATGAACTAGAAGGTGATTTCCCCTGTTATCAATCTGTAATGAAGAACATGTACTTTGAGGTAGCTAAAAAACATGGGCATGTACATGTCTAGAAAATATAATACAACTTAAAGAGACAGCAATCTAAAAGTGTGATAGAAAAATGTAACTGCCATTTATTGGGTAGTTAAATATGGCAATCATGCTGTGCAATTAACATACAAGTTAATATAATCTAATTGCTGTAAGAGACACTAATGATCTTTATCATCATTGAAAAATAAAAGTTGAAAGAGGTTTTGTAATTTTGGGGAGATTAAATTATTTCTGTAAGATCACACAGCCCATAACAAAAATGTCAAGATTCCAATGCAGGCTGGCTTGGCTCACAGCATTCTGCCCTATTTACTTTCCTTCCTGCCTTTCCAATCTTCATTGGGAGAAAAGAATAACCTCACCTCTGTACATGCAAATTAAGAATACATACTGCTCAGACTTTCTGGACAATGTTGCATTCTACATATTCTTAACTCATGTTCTTTAAAAAATTGTCACTTTTTCATGCATAACTGAAAAATATTTTTACTTATTAAGGCAACTGGAAAAATACATAATTCTCAAAGTATACATTAATATAATGAACACCAAGATAACAGGTATCATTAATATTCATAAAATATGTTAAAATTAGCTTTCTAAATTATCAAAGAGGTAAAATACATGTCATATATTAAATATCTATTCTTCCAAAAGAAGAGAATAAAGTCCAATGCATTGATTCCTGAAACTCAATAGCTATCAAGTTAACACTGAATTTAAGAGAATAATTTTGAGATAAGCTTCCATGAAAGGTGAATTAATACCTCCATCCAGGTAAGCGCAGGCCCACAGTTGATCTTGTTGCCAGCAATGGCTGAAAGGCGGGACAGGTAAGCCATGAGCATCTTAGTGATGGACTGCAGAGAAGGGTGGGACACAGTGTGACTCACAGGAAAGACACCAGCTCTCTCAAGTTAATAGTTAAAGAGGACTTTCTACAGAAAAGGATCCTGGAAACTGTGGGCACTGACGTAATGATTCAGCCCATGTAGTGAAGGCTTTAACTTTGAATCCCTATTTTATAACTTCTGTGTTGTTTTCTCATTCTGTTTTTTTACTGAAAATGCAAAAAGATGTTTGTCACAGATCCACATTGGGCTTTTCCGCCTAGCTCTCCACTGTGGCTAGCCTTTTTTTCCTAGTCCCTCTGTAAGCCCTGTGCATGTGCCTGGGCAACAGCAGCCACATTCTTATGACTCCAACCATGTACAGCTCACTGCTCCTGAAATGTGGCCTCTGTGAGGGAAAGTGAGCAAGATGGGCACAAAGGGACAGGGAAGACAGAGTCCTGGAGGTTTTCTGTGGCAAGCGGGAATGATCGTTAGACGCCTTCCTGCTTCAGTCCCTACATAATCTGTGATGACTTGACTTAGCCATTGACTTAACCACCCTAGAACTCATAGAGATTTCAAATTACTGCATCCCCAACATGTGGAAGACACTCTAGTCCACTGTGGCTGAGGAAGAGTCTGAAATTCTTTTGAGAAAATCCCCACATTTTGTTCTCTCCATGGATTTAGGAATTTCTTTTTTTTATTTTTAGGGAAGGGTTTACAGGGTGTTCAGAGTCTCACTACTACTAAATCAGGCTCATAGTGATCCCCATTTACAGCCTCCCAAGAGCTGGGATTACAGGTACGCACCACCACACCCAGTCTCAATTGCCGGCTCAGTGTGCCCCAGGGGCGGGGCTGGCACGGCAGGCCAGGGGATCGAACTCCCCACCCCTGTGCCTGCTTGCAGGTGCTTTAATCTGCTGAGCTATTTGGTCAGCCCTTCTGTGTTTCAACATACTACAACTTTATAACATGATGTGGTAGCACCTACTGGGCCCTCTGAATCTGAACACATTGATTTCTGTAGCTCTAGAGAGCTCTTTAACTATGTCCTTTCATATATTCTCTGTTCCTACAATTCCTAAGAATAGGATCTGCTTTAGGCCTAATCTCCATGGTTCCCATCTGTTCTTCCACAATTTCTTAGCAATTTGTCCCTTTCAGGAGCTATATTCTTATAAATGACTTAATTTCCCATCTGACTCTTTAGTTGTGTCCAGTTTATATACAGACCAGTTATCTGACTTGCTATCAATTTTTTTTTTTTTTAATTTTAGTACAGGGTCTACAGGGTCTCACTACATAGATCAGACTTGTAGTGATCCGCCTGTATTCAACCTCCCAAGCACTGGGGTTATAGGTGTGCACCACCACTCCCAGTCTCAATCACTCTCTCAGTGCGCCCCACGTGTGGGGCTGTCAGGGCACACCAGGGATCAAACACCAGCCACTGTGTCTGTGTAAGCAGGTGCTTTAATCTGCTGAGCTATTTGGCCGGCCCTTTATCAAAATTAATTTAAATGATCTCTGATCACTTTGCTTTTCCAAATCTCTACTCTCACTTCATGGATGAGATACTCCTTGGAAAGAATATCAGACTGTCCAGGGCTTTCTTCTGCAATTCTCTTTCTCGGTTATTTTGTGTACTCAGTGTTTGTAAGATTTCTGTTATGCATTCACCTTGTGTATTTTATAATATGCATTTTAAACCCTATTTTCTCTTCCCAAATATTTTATTCTATCTACTTTCAAGGATTCCTCACAATTTTTGATTCTCTAATCACTTTTTTTTGTTCATGATACTTTATTTTGGCTTTCATATTTTTATACTGTTAAAAATGGTCTGTTTATACATGGTCTACTTATTACTGCTACAAAGGGTTTTCGTTCCAATAAAATTATATAGCAAACCTACAATTTACTTCTAAACAACCTATTAATGTCTGTGTTAAGAAATAGGTAAGTAATTCCAAAAATGATGCTAGGACTTTGACGTAAGCTTTTATTTAGCACAAAGACAAAAATCTATGCTAATTTTTATGTAGCGACTATATATGCCAAGAACCAAATGCATACCTCTGGACTGTCCTTGAGGCTGTCAGAACGGGGCAGCTCGGAGAGTTGGGAGAACCGTCGGTCATAAATACACAGATGAAGATGTTTATCAAGTACCCGAAAATCTTCATAACTTCTTTTAACAATCCAACTTTTGCCCTAGAGATAGGGTAAACAAACTGTAATTCATCTTCACCCAGAAATGCATAGCAATCAGGCCTTATTCTGGAATGCTATTCCTTTGTTTATTTATTATTTTGGTACTGGGAGCTGAATTCAGGATCTTGGGCTTGACAGGCAGGTTCTGTACCACTCAGGTATATCTCTAGCCCTCTAGGATGGTATTTCATTCACGACATTTCACATTTCTTGATGAGAAGTTTTTAATCACTTCATTTTATTCACTTAATTAAATTTCAAAATGCTCTAGTGAGTTATATTAAATTGAAAGGTCAACACTGAAAAACAATACTAAACTCTCCATTAATCCTCTTCTTCCTGAAAGCACACAGCCTCTCTTTAAAAACAATAACCAGTAGATGTTGAGATAGAAGGTAACTTTAAATCTATAAAAACCAGAAAAATCACTTTCTAGGAAGCTATTTCCAAAAATTAAAGAAAAATAAAATGTTTATTGGCTTAGTTATTAGCAATACTTTCTATGACTGAGACTAGAAGTATGTTCAAAATCTAAACTACCAAACTATATAAGTTCCCTAATATCCAGAATACAGAATGAATTCAAACAACTTAGTAATAATAACCTATTTTTCTTTCTTATTTTATTTAAAAAAGGTAAAACAGAATTTCATAACAAAATAATAGGAAAATAACAGCTAATACATTGTACAGTGTCACTTTCAAAGTAGTTACTCACAGCACAAGATATGGGCAAAATTCTCCAATCAATACTAGAACAAAACTTTTCAGCGAACTAAAAGATATTAACAATATAGCTTTCTCGTATTTTTGTCCCTTTTATCTTTTTTTCCCTCCTCCCCCACTGTGTTCCTTTTTTCTTTTAAATAATTATTTCCTAGTTCACAATATATATTGCATATTCTAGACCTTATTTCTCTTTCAATTTCTCACATCATGGAGACACTATGCTGTTTATACATGTGAGTCTGATTTTATTTCACTTATGAGAATTTACCTTTAAGTCTCAAGTATATCCCTTATGGGTGAGTAATGCTCCATTAGGTAAAAATATATCCTCTTTTTTTAATCTCTTTATCTGATGGGTATCTGGGTTGCTTTCAAGATTTAGCTATGATACATTGTGTTGATATAAACATCAGTGCACATACACTGCTGTGGTCAAGATGCTTTTATTTCTTCTGAGAAGATACCCAGAAGGGGAATAGCTGGGTTGAATGGGACCTCTGAACCTAGTTTTTTTGAGGAGTATCCACAGATTTCCACAGTGTTTGAACCAGTCTACACTTCCACCAACAGTGAAGAAGGGTTCCTTTCACTCCACAACTCCTCCAGCATTTGTTATTGGTTGATTTCTTGATGACGAGTCATTCTTTCTGGAGATAGAATTTCACTATTGTTTTAATTTGCAATCTCAAATGACCAATAATGTTGAACGTTTTTTCACATATTTATTTGCCATTTGTATTACTTCTTCTGAGAATTGTGTATTCATCTCAGATGCCCATTTTTTGATTGGGTGTTTGAATTGGGGGGGGTCTGAGTTTTTTCAGTTCTTATATGTTCTACTTGTAAGTCCTTTGTCTAAAGTACGGTTGGTTAAAATTTTTTCTCGCTCTGTGGGTTTTCTTTTCATTTTGTTGGTGATTTCTCTTGATGTGCAGATTTTTTAATAAGATGAGATTCTAGCTCTTCATTCTTTGAAGTACTACTACCCATGTAGTTTGGGTTTTCGTTCATGAACTCTCTGCCTATATCCATGTCTTCAAGATTTCTATCTACTTCATCTTCTAGTAGATTTAGTGTTCCTGTTTTAATATTTAGACCTCTGATCCATTATAACTTTAGTTTAGTGGATAGTGCTAGACATGGGTCTAGTTTTAGTTTTTAGCATTTGGAAAGCCAATTTTTCCAGCACCATTTATTAAAGAAGCTATTTTTCTTCCAGTGAACATGTTTGGCTCCTTTGCCAAAGACAAGGTGGTTGACTATTTGTAATTGGGTTTCTGTCTTCTCTTGTGTTCCGCTGACCCTCAGGTCTGTTTTTTTGCCAGTACTATGCTGACTAAAAATCTGATTTAAAATGGTCAGTTTCTTGAAAGATACACAAATGGACAAAGGTTATATGAAAAAAATGATCAACATTATTAGTTAGCAAGGAAATACAAATCAAAATATAATGATACTATCTCATTCCAATTAGGATGGCTATTTCAAAAAACTAAAATATAGCAAGTGCTAGTGAAGGAACAGAGAAAAAGAATCTTTGAATTTTGTTGGTAGAAATATAAATTAACATAAATTACTACAGCCATTTTGGAAAACAATGGAAATCCCTCAAAAATAATACATGACTCACCAACCCACCATAATGTTAGATAAATATATTAAGTCCTTGGCATCAATCCATTAAAGAAATATTTGCATTCTCATGTCCACTGCCATACTGTTCACAAAATCCCAATTACAGAAACTAACTGTGTATCAGTGGATAAATAAATGAAGTAAAATGTAATGCATCAATGGGACTATTATTCAACTTCAAAAGAGAAGGAAATTCTGTCATTTGCATCAAAGATGAACCTGGAGGACATTTTGCTAAAAGAAATGAGTCAAACATAAAGGACAAAAAAACCCTACATATGCTCACTTATATGTACACTTAGAACAAACTCATAGAAAAAGGGAGTAGAGTTGTGGCAACCAGGAGTTTGGAGGGAGTGGGATGTCAGAGAGCATGGGAGGAGGCTAGTTAAAATACAAAGTTGTAGTCAGATGGGAAGAATAAGTGACAAGTATAAAAGGTGAAAAATAAACTCAGAATGGAGGCAAGAAAAAAATGATCATGTTTTCTTAGTACAGTCTTTCTATAATAGATATTTAATATAAAGGAAGCATTAATATATGTCATTTGTGTTTAGTATGTGTGCAGTTCAATATTTAGTTCTTTTTGTGAGCCCTACAGGTCTAACACTGCTACCTCAGTTACATTGCAGAAGTGATCCTGTCTGTCATGATAGGGTTTCTCATTTCTGCACTGGGACATAAGAAGCTTACAAATCATCATTTTATCCTAACAAGCAAAAAGCTGAACCAAATGAAAATCAACGAATCTTAGATGCAGCACAGAAGTAAGGTCACAGGGCAAATTGCTCTTCTCCAGTTGGAGGCTGATAGGTGAATATAAAGAATCACAACTTAAGTAGAACAAAAATCTACAAGTTCAAATTTCTACAGCAGCTATTATCAAAATATAAGCTGTAACCATTAAATTTCCAGAGGCTTGGGTGTGAAAATCAGAGTAACATACCCAGAGAACCCAACCTTAGGGAGACCCACACACCTTTATGAGTTTTACCTTCAAGAATTCTTCAACAAGCATGTCAGAGAACCCCCCCCCCCATACCACATACACAGCCAGCTTCCAGCGCTGGAGTGGAAAAGGAACCTTTAAGTTCATTTCTTGTCAGCAAGTCCTGTCCTCAGGAGAAACTCTTTCCAGGTCATAATAATGAAGTTTATCTGACCCTACACTACTTGGGGAAAGGTAAAACCTCAACTCTCTTTCAAGCATTCCACCTCGAGATAGTGTACTAAAGCCTACTCTAGTCATCCTGGCCCACTGCTGGAAGAAGAACTGACCCAGGTACATGACCTCCAGAGTCCTTCCTGCCCCTATACCTTAGCACTGCATTACTGAAGGTCTAGTTACTGTAGCTCTGCCACCCGGCACAAGACTTAAATAGAGTACGAAGGCTGTAACGGTCAGACTAGAAATTTAAAAGAATTATGAATAATAATAATATAATATAGATGTTACATGTTTAAGAAAACATATAAAATAGATGGATAATATAAGAAGAGAATAGAACATTCTAAGAGAATCAAAGTGAAATGCTAGATATCACAAACACTGACAGAAATGAATACCTCTGATAGAGTCATGATAGAGTAGGCATAGTAGAGTCTGAGTTTGGGAATATTCCAATAGACACTTCCAAAACTGAAGGCAAAAATCCCCGAAAAACAAAAACGAGTAGAAAAACAGAACGAAAAAACTACAAAAAGTATAACATTGACACATCACGGGGAAAAAAATCAAATAGAATAGAAAAAGGAGGAGAGGCAATATTTGAAGCAATAATGACTAAGAATTTCTCCCAACTATTGCTGGATATCAAGCCACAGATTCTGGAAACTCAGAGAACACAAAACAGAATAAATACCAGCATTAAAAGAAAAAGGTGTATCTAGGCCTGATCATATTCAAACTAGAAAATTCAAGGTAAAGAAAAAAGATTTTGAAAAGAAGTTAAAGGAGAAACACATCTTACACATAAATGAAAAAAGGAATAATATCCAAGTTGGAAATCATGAAATAAGTGAGTGGCATAAATTACTTGAAAATGTTGAGAGAAGGGTTGGCCAAATAGCTCAGTGGATTAAAGTGCCTGCAAGCAGGCGCAGGGATTGGGGGTTTGATCCCTCAACCTGCTGTTCCGGCCCCACCCCCGGGGCACACAGATGGCAACTGAGACTGGACAGGCTGATCACTATGAGTGTGATCTAGTAATGACACCCTGAACACCCTGTAGACCTTTCCCTAAAATACAAAACAAATAAATTAATTAATTAATAATAATAATAATAATAATAATGTTGAGAGAGAAAAACTAAAAGTTTTTACCCTGTAAAATCACTCCCTTTAAAGTGAAGATGAAACAAATTTATCGAACAAAGTGAGGCAATTTGTGGCCAGTAGATCTGCCTTGCAAGAAATGCTAAGAAAAGATCACTGGAGAGAAAGATCATTATATAGGCAAGAAAGTCATTATACAAAGAAAAATATTATGAAAGGAGTAAATGACAGCAAAATAAAACTACTGCTTTATTTAATTCTAAATTTATCTAATAGGTAATTAGCTTAGAATAATAATGTACTCAATTATTTATATTTATGAATATGTGTATGTAGAATGTACATGAATATATGTGTAGGC